CAGAGTCGAGATATACCCCCAGCAACAGAGGCTGGGAAACAGACATTCATCCCAAGGCAACAGAAGCACAGACCAGGGGCTGAGACAATGAGACAGACTGGTGCAATCCAGCTACACCTCCCATGGGACATGCAGGGTGCTGGGGGAACAGAGATAGGCCGGTGCAACCCAGCAGGGACTGTGCCATCCAGTTACCCATGAGACCTGTGGGATGCTGAAGCACCAGAGAGGACTGTGTGACCCAGCAGCCCATAACATAGGCATAGAGCCGGGTTCCTGAAGGGACTCTGTGATCCAGTTACGTGTGGGACCTGCAGGGTGTGGGGTCACCAGAGAGGACTGGGCAACCCAGCTATACACAAGATAGTCCTAGAGGATGTGACAAACAGAGGCAGAGAGAATAGAAGCTATGCAGACAATCTCCCAGGACCACACAAGAATTACAACTAAAATAAAGATAAATCCTCGGCAAAAAGGAACAGAAAAGCATCAGGACAGGCCCATATAACCAGGGACACATGTAGGATCTGCAGAGAAGTGAGAGGGTGGTGGAATGGGAGCCCACGGACAGCAGCAGTATTAGCTGTGAGCAGCGCCCTTGGGGAATAAAGACCAAGCCCATGACACAGAGCAGAGAGCCAGGAAAGAGCATAAAAGGGCCACAACCACTCACCTGGGGGCTATGGCAGAGGGAGGGCAGACAGGGCTGGAACTCTGTGAAGACAACTGAGATTTGGAGGGCACTCAGAGTTTTTGCTGAGTTGCGGCCACAAAGGATGGTGGCCAGTGTGCTCCTTCCCAGAGCTGTGGTGAAAGTAGAAGCCCACCTCTTCGGAGATTCAGCCTTTCCCAGGTGAAGCAAAGAAATGCAAATTGAGGCTCAATAACAACCAGCATCTATCCCACCCTCGGGAAATCTTATGCAGAACACCAGGACTATATCCCAAGACACTTAGTAACTGAGACTACTAGCCACTAGGAAAAAGCTAAGGATAATGGAACCTTTCCTGGGCTTGCAAATCTACCCAGGAAAGTAAGACTGAACAGTGGTGTTTAACGTGGGCCCACCCAGGCCCATCTAAACCCAGTAAAGGGAGCCAAAAACATCAGTACATCAACACCCACATGGGAAGTTTGGCAGCCTCCAAAAAACCACTGAGATAGCCAAAATGGTGAAATAAAAAATACAAATCCCAAATTAAAGAACAAGAGAACTCTATTGAATATGAGATCAATGAAATGCAGTTAAGCAAATTATCAGAGGTAGAGTTCAGAGCCATGATCTTGAGGAAGTTGAACAGCATGAGTAAGGACATCAGCACCATGAGTAAAGATATAGAAATATTGAAAACCAACCAAGTGGAAATGAAGAATGACATAGCAGAAATTAAGAACACATTGAAAGGACTAACCAGCAGAGTAGAGGAAGCTGAGGACCAAATCAGTGAATTAGAAGACAGGGTAGAAAAAAATAAACCAATTAGAAATCAAAAAGGAAAAGACAATTAAAAAACAGGAAGATAGCTTAAGAGAACTGTGGGACAATGAAAACATAATACTAGCAAATCGAATCCAGCAATACATCAAAAAAATTATTGACCATGACCAGTGGGATTCATCTCAGGGATGCAAAGCTGGTACAATATTTGCACCTTAATTGTGATACGCCACATAAACAAAATGAAAGATAGAAGTCATATGACCATATCAATAGATGTTGAAAAAACATTGGACAAAATACAGCACCCATTTCTGATAAAAATGCTCAGCGATCTGGGAATAGAGGGATCATATCTCGATATAATAAAGGCCATATTTGAAAGACTACAGCCAACATGATACTCAGTGGGCAAAAACTAAAAGCATTCTCTCTCAAGAACAGAAACAAGACAAGGATGCCCACTTTCGCCACCTTTATTGAACACAGTACTGGAAGTCTTAGCCACAGCAATCAGACAGGAAGAAAAAATAAAAGGAATCCAAATGGGAAAGGAGGAAGTGAAACTGTCATGCTATACGTAGCATTATGCAGATGACATGATCCTATATGTAGAAAACCCCAAAGACTCCATCAAAAATTTACTAGACTTGCCCTGGCCGGTTTGGTTCAGCAGTTAGAGCATCGACCTGCGGTCCTGAGAGACCCGGGTTCGGTTCCCGCTAAGGGCGCGTACCTCGGTTGCAGTTTGTCCCCGGCCCTGGTCGGTTGTGCGGGTGGCAGCCACTCGATGTGTTCCTTTCACATCGATGTTTCTCTCTCTCTGCTCCTCTCTCTCCCTCCCACACTACCTGAACAAAAAATGGAAAAATGTCCTCAGGTGAGGATAAAGAAAAAAAAAAAAAATACTAGACTTAATAAATGAATTTGGCAAAGTAGCAGGATACAAAATTAACATCAAGCAATCGGCGGCATTCCTATACGCCAATGATGAGCTAAAAAAAAGAGAAACTAAAGAAACAATTCCATTTACCAATGCAGCAAAAAAATTAAAACACCTAGGAATAAACGTAACCGAAGAAATAAAGGACCTATTCACAGAAAACTACAGGTCATTGAAAAAATAAATAGAGGAAAATATAAAAAAGGGGACTCCAGTACACTGCTGGTGGGAATGCAGTATGGTGCAGCCACTATGGAAAACAAAATATTAAAAATTGAACTTCCATTTGACCCAGTGATCCCAATTCTAGGAATATACCCTAAGAAGCCTTAAATACTAATCAGAAAGAATATATGTACCCCCATGTGCATAGCAGCACTATTACAACAACTAAGATCTGGAAACAACCCAAATGTCCATCAGTAGACCAATAGATAAAAAAGTTGTGGTACATATAAGCAATGGAGTACTGTGCAGCTGTAAGAAGGAAAGATTTCTTATCCTTGTGACGACATGGAGGGACCTGGAGAGTATTATCCTAAGTGAAACAAGCCAAACAGAGAAAGACAAGTATCATATGATCTCACTCATTGGTGGAATATAATGTACCTAACAGTCTGAGGAATGGGGTAGTCCCAGAGATGTGGAAGTGTGGTACAGACTGACAGATCCCAGAAGAAGGGGTTGTGGGGGAGAGAGAAACCACAGAACTTATATGCATGTATGCATGAACAGCAGACATGGACAACAATGCTTCGGACAGGGCAGGGAGGGAGGGATGGAGTAAATGAGTGGGGGGAAAAGTAGAAACATCTGTACCAAAAATCAATGAATAAACTTAAAAAATAAATAAGCTCGTATGGAACCAAAAACGACCTCAAATATCCACACCAATTTTGAAAAAAGAAGAACAAAGTTGGAGGGATCAAATTACCAGATTTCAGGTTATATTACAAAGACACTGTAATCAAAACAGCCTGGTATTGGCACAAGAACTAGCATACGGATCAATGGAACAGAATAGAGAACCCAGAAATGGTCCCAAGACAATAGGCTCAATTAATATTTGACAAAGGTGGCCAGAGCATACAGTGGAGTAAGACAGGCTTTTTAATAAATGGTGTTGGGAAAATTGGACAGCTACATGCAAGAAAATGCAACTAGACCATTAACTTACACCATGCACAAGAGTAAATTCAAAATGGATAAAACACTTAAATGTGTCTCATGAATCCAATGAAATTCTAGAAGAATCTGTAGCCATCAAATTTCAGACATCATACACAGCAGAATTTTCACTGATACATCACCTAAGGCAACAGAAACAAAGGAGAAAATGAACAGATGGTACTGCATCAAACTCAAAAGCTTTTGAACACCAAAAATCCACCAAAATGGAAAGGAAACCCACTGTATTGGAGAGCATAATTGCCAATGATATATCAGATAAGGGGTTAATTTCCAATATATATAGATTGTTCATGCAGCTCAACAAAAGGAAGACAAAGAAACCAATTAAAAATGGGCAGAGGAACTAAATAGACACCTCTCGAAACAGGACATACAAATGACCAAGAGATATATGAAGAAATGCTCAACATCACTAATCATCAGAGAGATGCAAATTACAACAACAATGAGGTGTCACCTCACACCTGTCAGAATGGTCGCCATCCACAAATCATCAAACAAGTGTGTTGGCGAGGGTGTGGAGAAAAGGGGGCTCTAGTCCACTGCTGGTGGGAATGCAGACTGGTGTGGCCACTATGGAAAACAATATGTTGTTACTTCAGAAACTAAAAAATAGAACTTCCATTTGACCCAGTGATCTCATGTCTGGAAATATACCCTAAGAAGCCTGAAACACCAATCAGAAAGAATATATGTACCCCCATGTGCATAGCAGCCCTATTTACAATAGCTAAGATCTGGAAACAGCCCAACTATCCATCAGTAGACGAATGGATACAAAAGCTGTGGTACATATACACAACGGAGTACTGTGCTGCTGTGAGAGAGAAAAATTTCTTATCCTTTGAGATGACATGGAGGGACCTGGAGAGGATTATCCTAAGTGAAACAAGCCAAGAAGAGAAAGCAAATATCACTTGAACTCACTTATTTATGGAATAAAATGAACATAACAGTCTGAGGAACGGAGTATTCTCAGAGATGTGGAATTGGGGTACAGACTGGAATTGAGGATATGGTCGGGGAGAGATCAACCACAGAAGTATATGCATGTATGCATGACCAATGGACATGGACAACAAAGCTGGGGACATGGCAGGGAGTGTGGGGGAGGGGAATCAGTGGGGGGAAAAGGAGAAACATCTTTAACAAAAATAAATTAATGAAATTTTTTAAAAAAGTAAAAATCGCCCAAGAATATTGGAGACTAATGTAAACTATATATAATGCTGAGAAATAGTAAGAAAACTTAAACAGATGTCTACTAAAACTCTTCTCACACAAACATTTTCAGTTCTAGCACTATGGCAATTTAGTTATACCTTCATAAAAATGAGTGTTGTTGTATACTTGTTATAAATTTGAAGTATAGTTTTTCCATAATAGATCTATTTTTCTATTTACTGACTAAATATATCTCTTATGTAGCTTATGCTACATTACCAGATGAAAATCGTATCCTTGAGAATGAAGAATCAATGACAAAACCCCAAATGCAAGAAAAGAAACAAAGAACCTCTACAGAGAAAACTCTCACTGCCAGTAAGTATAAGTATTATAGATAACTTTAAATTATTTTAAGTTAATTACAGCCAAAGGTTTTCTACTTTGCTTTGTGAATCTGAGTTTTGCTATATATTTTACAGAAGATTTAACCTTTGACCCAAAATATAAATACTTGAAGAAAACTAGAGAATAAAAGCTAAAGTATTCATAACTTTTGGCTAATATTTCTGGTCATTTGCTCAGGTATTTTCCAAAGCCACTGACAAACCAATAATTGTCCTTCAAAGTGTGTGTACCTTTCAGTCAACTGCAGGAAGTTAGGAGTCAAGAAGTCCAATTTAATTTTCTTTTTGTGCATTTGCCTTCTTTTTTTTATTTGTAAAGAGAAATTGCTGAAACCTGCAAAATATATTCAGATCAGGGTCGTCAAGGAGAAAAGTGTCATGGAGGTCTGTGGAAGAGCCTCCAGAGCATGTTGGTTGAAATACACTGAATTGTGAAGGCCTTTTTGGGAACTTAATAGATGCCTGCGATCAGTATCCCATTGAGGGGAATGTGAGAATACCCATAGCAGAATAATTCAACAAATTTCCAGGCCTCTTTTGTACTTGTTGGACTAAGAGGGACAAACATTTGGCAGTTGTTTCCTCTAGAATGAGATATATTGCCTCTTCCCAGGGATTTTACTTGGGTACAGGGTCCTTGTATCATGCCCATATTAATGACCCTACTGTGTAAATTAATGTGGGTCAATTTAGCATCTAATCCTTGTTGTGTAGGAGCCTTGCCTGGGCCCACCAGGAGGGTGTTATCAATATAGCAAAATGCTAGTGCAGTGTGAGAGTAGGACCTCTTCCAGCTCATGGCCTTGTGGAAGGCCATGAAAGGTATATTGCAACCCATTGCACAAAAGACAAACTGCGCCTGTTTGTGTGGACAGTGATGCTGAAAAGGGCATTTGCGATATGAATTGCTTCATAATTACTTCTAACGTCTTCATCAAGAGCCTCTATGGCAGTCATAATGTCAGGTAACAATAGTGTCCTGGGCTGTACCACAGAGTGAAGTTGGTCTATAAGCACTCAAGACTTTATGCACAGTTCAGCTTAGTTGTTGAATTGGATAGAGTTAATGGTCTCATGGAGATCTTTGTATAATTTTAACTCAGCAATGAAAGCAGTAATTTATTTTTCTTCCCCAGGTGGTTGTTTGTGAAGACAAGTCTCTAGACACTGGCAGTCTGGTAGATTTACAGTCTTCCAGTGCCTCACTAAAATGATCATAACTGATCAAAGCTCAGAGCTGATCTGAGTTATAATTCACATAGAAAATACATCTATGCTAATAATATATTCAGTCATGGAGGCTATAAAATGGAGGTTTATAGTGCCCCAAAGCGATTCACATATGATCAGATCTGGGTAAAGGGCAGACAGCATTACTTATTTCCCTTTCATCCTGTTCTCAGAGTTGTGGCAATCACAGTCACTAGTATCCAAGGGCCGAAGTTTCGCAATTTCCCCCCAATGCCTCTTTGAATTCGGACTTGGCGTGCATCCTCAGATGCCACTGGAGACATAGGGACCTTCGTCCAATCCTTAATCTTGTTTATTTCTGAAAGCTGAGAGCTCTGGGTAAATGTAGACAGAGTTTTCTGATTTATCTTAAGATTACAAGGAGGGGCAGAGGGAATAGCATTTGTATTAGTAATAAGGGCTATCACTACTTTAATTCTTGTGGGTCTATGTGTTGGATCCACCATGGCTCACTGCCAGTTCACAGGATTCTTCTCCTTGCGACTCCATTGCTGAGTAACTAGACAATGGTTTCAGTGGCAGCAAACTCATCATGCATTGGTCAAACTTTTCAGAAACCAAATGGCAGCCAGTATAAGTGTCTCAATTTTAAGTGTGTTTTTGTTTTTTTCCTCTGTCCCCTTTCTTGTCCTCCTTGGCCAAACTGGCCACTGCAGGTAACTCAGATCCAGAGGGTTTGTCATGACACACCCAACAAGGTGCCACTGTCTGGCCCTCGCTAAGTTAATAAAATTACCTCCTTTATGGCGGAGGCACACTGCTCAAGTCTCAAAAGTTTTCTCGGGTTGCTGGTAAGGTAAAACTGAGAAATCTGCATTCTTTTCATTAAACGCCAATCTCAAAAACTCACTGTGTCTATCAGTACCAGCCTGTCCACCAGTGGCAGAGCCATGCTTAGAGCGAACAACAGTCACTGGGTACAGCTCAGCTAGCAGTGTCTGCAGTATCTTTCGGTGACCAACTAATCTGTTTCTCGTTTATATTTTCTGTATTTTATATTTGTAAAGGTCAGTATCTCTCCTACTTTTCTTTCTTTCTTACTTAAAAGGTAACATACAAGATATCCTATCTTTCAGGTTTTTTTTCCCTCCACTAAACATTATTTCATTAGAAATAACTTTAAATTATTTTATAGGTATCTTTTTTTATTATTTTTTATACTTGTATGTAGAGCTGTTTGTACTACATTATATCCCACAGTTTATAGTATCATAATTTACATATCTTACTTTAGTCTACCAATCTCCTATGCTTGTACATTTAGATAATTTTGAGTATTTTGCAATTACAACTATGCTGTAATAAATATCCCTGCACATATATATTTTTGTTGTTTGGTCTATGGATATGTAATAACTGAAAATATAAAAAAAAAATTAAGTAAACTAGAGGCTAACATAAAATTTGAAGATCAGGGATATTAATGGTATAACAATAACTTCTACACACACTTATTAAAATTCTTCTCACGATTTTTGTATCAGGTCTAGCATTATGGTGATTTACTTATAATTTTATGAAAATGAGAGAAGAAGCTTCTGTATACTTGTAATAAATTTTAAATCTAGAGATTTAACAATAGATTTCTGCTTAGTTTATTGGACTAAATGCTTCTCTTTATGTAGCTCAGGATAAAGTACCAGATGAAAATCGTATGCTTGAGCATCAAGACACAGTATCGAAATCAGAAATTCACATGAAGAATCAAAGGACTCACAAAAAGAAAGGACTTACTAGTAAGTATAAAAACTACAGATAACTTTAAGATATTTTAAAATAAACTCATTTTTATTTTGGTTCATGAATGAATATGTATTTGAAAATATGTTTACAGAAGTTGTATACTTTTACTAAACTATGAATACCCTACAATAACTAGAGGAACTAACAAGCAACAAAATGGATATATTTTGGTTGACATTTCTGGTCTTAAAGATCATTTCATGACAACAGGACATGTACTCAGTATCCCCAAGGCCCAATAGCAGATGCATAATTATTTATCTAAAACCACGTGCCTTTCGGCTGATTCCAGGTATTTATTGGTACAAAAGCCCAGTGTAGCCCGACAAGCGTGGCTCAATGGATTGAGTGTCATCCCATGAACTGAGAGGTCCCAGTTTGATTCCTGGTCAGGGCACATGCTTGGGTTGTGGGTTCAATTCCCAGTAGGGGGCATGCAGAATGCAGCCAATTAATGTGTCTCCTTCACATCAATGTTTGTATCTCTCTCCCCCTTGCTCTTTCTCTAAAGAGAAAAGTCAGTAAGAACATTAAAAAACAAAAACAAAAGCCCAATGTATGTATCCCACAGTGCAAGTGGTCTTCTGCCATAGGCTCTAATTGCCAAACAGATGTTTCTGTGATCTGTAATTCCAACATCAAATGGAGGTTAGAAGATCCTAGGGGAAGAATAGTCTAGGAAGTCTATCACAGGGCCTCTATGGCATCTTCTTGATACTATCCTCTCTAAAAGGAAGCAGCCTTTCTGGTAACCCCATAAATACGGTCACCAAGGGCCACACATGGAGGAAATGAGAATGCAAGTAGTCAGAATCCCACTAATGACTGGGCCTATTTTTATTTGTTGGAGTTGAGTGGGGCCAGAGTTTGTTGGCAGTCTTCTCTTCTGGAAGGAGATGTCATACCCCTTTGAGATCATGCCCAGGAGTTTAACTAGGGCGCCTGGTAATTATACCTTGTTTGTACAATGGTACAAACCATTGGCTCACCAGGGGCCTAGCCCAGAACTGTTCAACAGGGCATCTAGTTTTTGGTGGGTGGTGTCCTTGTGTAGCCCACTTGTGTGAAGACTAGTCCTCCCTCTGGGAACCAGCCATTTATAGATCATGGCCTCATCACTGATGCTAGATAATTGAGCAATTTTGTAGTCACATGAAGGATATTAGTAGTTTACTGCAACTCATTCTACATAAGGTTAAACTGATCCTGGTAATTTGTGTGGAGAGGGATGCAGGAAAGGGCATTTGAGATGCCAGTTGTTGCGTATCAAGTTTCTTTTGTTTGGAAAATGGTCTGTATGAAAGTTACAATGTCAGGTACCACCACTGCCCAGGGCTATTACTATAGCATTGACTTACCAAAATCAAATGAGTCCCTATACATACAATGCCATGTGTTAAAGGTCAACTTAGTTATTAAAATGGAAAGTAGTCTCACCTAGAATTTTGCTTCATTAAGCTCAGCAATAAAAGCTGTTGTTTTGTTTCTTCCCTAGGAATTTGTGTTATGAGACATCGGTGCTAGGCACTGTGAGTTTAGAAGTTTGCAGTCTTCTATATACCCCACTAAAATGCCCCTAAATATAGTAGTTCCCATTAGGGCTTGGGCTAAATGCCAGTGGGAATGCACATAGAAAATACATCTATACCAATATACATTAAGTAATGGGGGCTATAAAAATAAAGATTTGTGGTGGTCTGAATGGATTCGCTTAGTGGTATGATGACCTCCGATGAGAAACTAGAGAGCTTGTCTCTTTCTCCTGGGACCTGGTGTTAGAGGTTATAGAGATCACAATCACCTGTGCACCAGTGTTCCACCAGTTCTAGAACTCAATTTCCTCCCACTCCACTTTGAATTCTTACATTGGCATCCATCCTCAAATCACCACTGGTGACATAGAAAAATTGACCTAATCTTTAATTTTGTTTATTTTCAAAAGCTGAGAGATCCGGGTAAAAGTAGAGGAGGATCCTCTTATCTATCTCAATATCACTTGGAAGAGCAGAGGGAAGAGCACTTGTATTAGTCATAGAGGTCACCATAATTTGAACTTTAGTGGGGATGTATTGAGACCCATGGCCTAACTATCTTGCCAGTAGATCTTTGGTGGGGACTCTATCAATGTCCTCCTGGAGATCCCATTGTTGAGTAACTACACCCAGAGATTTCTTCATCAGAACCCTTTACCTGATTGTCCAGGAGTGGATGCCTGATTACTGTTTTTAGGTTGCCTTGTTCACTGGTCAAACAGTACTATCTGATTAGCAGCTATTTTTTCCTTGCCTGAAAATTTGTCATTTAAGATAAAGATTATGCTGCAAACCAATGGACACCACTTTATAAGCAGGTCTAATTGAGCTAAATAACCAGCAAAGATGGCCCAAAGGAAAGTAGAAATCTGAGTCTGGTTAAAAATTTTATTATTACTGTCTATACTCTATGTGACTGTAGATATTATAAGGTGGGTCATAGAGCCTTGCAGCGGGTCTCATCCTATGGGTCACAACCCCTTTGGGGGTCAAATGACCCTTTCACAGGGGTCACCTAAGACCATCGGAAAACACATATTTCCAGTGGTCTTAGAAACCGGGACACCGCTCCTCTGTCCGTTTGCAGGTGTGTCCGTGCACATGCAGATACGCCTACATACAACAGGAGGAACTATTACAGGGTCACAGCATTAAGAAGATTGGAAACACTGTTTTATAGTCCCAGAAGCGTGTAAGTGGGGTGCAAATTGACAATCCCCTAAAGAGGGGGGGTTGGGGGAGAGATAAACCACAGAACTTATACGCATGTATGCATGAACAGTGGACATGGACAACAAACTGGGAAAAGGGCAGAGAGGGGGGCAGAGGGGGGATTCAGTGGGGGGAAAAGGAGAAACATCTGTAACAAAAATTAATCAATAAAAAAAATAAAAAAATCAATAAAAATAGAAAAGAAGAAGAAAAAAGAGAGAGAAACACTGTTTTAGAACCTGTGAAAAAGATGACCCCAAACATTTTTTTTCAGTGGCAGGGAATGCATAATGAGTTGACCATCCTGTTGGAGCCAAAAGAATACCCAGCTATGGGAGAAGGAGCTCAGATGTTCATGTCTTTCATCCCCCTTTTTCTCTAACTCCTTGGGAAATATGGTCACTTTCAAGTTTTACAATGTGGTTCTACAATGATAAGCCCTAAAATGTGCCCCTCTTCATCTCTAAGTTTGAAAAGATTACATCATTCTTCATGACAGCAAAGAAACTTATTGTCTAAAATCTTTTTGAGTTGCTGGGCAAGGCAATCCTTAGAACTCCTATTCTTTTTCATTAAAGTGCAAGTCTTAATAACTCACAGCACCATAGGTGGATCATTATTTCCAGGGGCCTGGTAGAGCTAAAGTAGTCATTGGGTGCAACTCTGCATGCAGGATCTCCAATTTTTTTGGACCCATTAGTATCCACAAAATTGTTTCTCTAGTTTTCTCAGAGCCCATCTCTTGGATCTTTCATACGACTTATTGGACATCTTGGTAGGTGAATCAGATTCTAAAGAAAAATACATAACTGAAAACCTTATGTAAACAATGCAGCAACACCCCGTGATTCAGTCTAGTATGATGGTATATTTCAAGAACTTATCCATTTCTTCCAGGATAATGAATTTGGTGGCATATAGACTTTCATAGTATTCTAGCGTGATCCTTTGTATATCTGTGATGTTTGTGGTAACTTGTCTTTCATTTCTAATTTTGTTGATATGAGTCTTTTTTAATTTTAATTTTTATTTGCATGACATTTTATTTATTCTGAATAAATTCAGTTTTTTATATTAATTAATTTATTGGGCTAATACGAGTTAACAAAATTACACAGGTTTCAGGTGCACAATTTTACAACACATCATCTATACCTTGTATTATGAGTTTTTTCTTTCTCCTCTCTTAGTGAGATAGCTAGGGGGTTGTTAATTTTATTAATCTTTTCAAAGAACCAAGTCATTTTTGCATTAATTTTTTTGGATAGTCTTTTGTTCTTTATTTCATCCATTTTTGCTCTACTTTTTTTAAATTAATCAATTTATTTTTGTTACCGATGTTTCTCCTTTTCCCCCCATATATTCCCCCTCCCCACCCTCCCTGCCCTGTCCCTAGCTTTTTTGTCCATGTCCATTGTCCACGCATACATGCATATAAGTTCTGTGGTTTATCACTGCCCCAACACCCACTCTTCTGCGGATTGTCAATCTGTACACCACTTCCTCGTCTCTGGGACTACCCCATTCCTTAGACTGTTATGTTCATTATATTCCACAAATAACTGAGATCATATGATACTTGTCTTCTGTGTTTGGCTTGCTTCACTTAGGATAATATTTCCAGTTCCCTCCATGTAGTCTCAAAGAATAAGATATCTTTCTTGTTATAGCTGCGTAGTGCCCCACTGTATATATGTACCACTGTTTTTTTTATCCATTGGTCTACTGATGGACACTTGGGCTGTTCCCAGATCTTAGCTATTGTAAATAGTGCTGCTACAAACATAGAGGTACATATATTCTTTATGATTGGTGTCTCAGGCTTCTTAGGGTATATTCCTAGAATTGGGATCACTGAGTCAAATGGAAGTTAAATTTTCAATTTTTTGAGATAACACCATATTGTTTCCACAGTTCCTGCACCAGTCTGCATTCCCACCAGCAGTGTACTTGAGTCCCCTTTTCTCCACACCCACGCCAACACTTGTTGTTTGATGATTTGTGGATGGCGGCCATTCTGACAGGTGTGAGGTGATACCTCATTATTGTTTTAATTTGAATCTCTTTAATGATTAGTGATGTTGAGCATTTCCTCATATGTCTCTTAGCCATTTGTATGTCCTGTTTGGAGAGGTGTCTATTTAGTTCCTCTGCACATTTTTAAATTGGGTTCTTTGTCTTCCTTATGTTGAGTTGTATGAGCACTCTCTATATATTGGAAATTAACTTCTTATCTGATATATCTTTGG